CCACTCAAAATACCTACATAATCGGATTAAAAGTTTTATAGCTGTATTGTATTTCTTCAGATACAAGGTGGGTTAGTCGAAAACATCTTAAACTGCCAGTTTTAGTTTGGTTTTTGTTATTATATCATATTAGCTGTCCTCTCTGTATTTCAGTTCTCTAATGAGGGTCAAACTTGCAGTGAGCTATCAACAAATTATGAACGGACTATAGTCCATTTATTTAGGCATCAATCTACATCTTTACTTCCTTTTTTAGTAGAATAATTTCAAGACAGGGCCTGGCGTTAAGAAATGTTTGAGATGAGATAGGGATTCTTCATTGTCCGATCCCAATTAAGAAATCGCCAATGTAATCAAATGACATGTTTGGGACAAATTTTCGTAGATACTTGTTCATGCCCAAGATTCTCAACAGATCAGTTTTATTTTGGGAGTTTGGCAATTCCAAAATTGCTTTAATATAGTTTTTATTGAGCCGAATACCATTTTTTGAGTAAATTTGTCCCATGAATTTTACAAATTTGGATTTGAAGCTATAATATTTACGTGCGCGTTCAAGAACTAGTTGCAAATTCCTATCATCTACTTCTGTCACGATTGAATCGTCAAAATGAAGTCAAACGCCATCTAATTCGCCAAAAATCTCGGTTTTATTTTTGAAAAACTTCTGGCGTTGAACAAATGCCAGACGAAAGCCTTATGAATTTATGGCGCACAAAAGGCGTACCAATAATCTGTATACTTTGAATGATCTCGCTGAAAATAGAGTTGTTTAGGTTTAAACACAATTTTAAATCGCCACGTTTTTTACACCAATAATAAGTGGATTCAGCCATTCGGTTGTTCAACTTTTTCAATAACACCCTGTGCTTCAAGTTGCTCTACATTTTGTTTAAATCAGTGGGACAGTAGCCGGTTGGGTTGGCGTAAGTGGCTTGTTCCATTCATTTAATCGATCGTCAGGTGAAATAATGGTTCGAGACGCGGGCCGGACGACCAATTTTCACTGCCTATCGTTCAACCCCTGCTAGGAATCGCACGGTGGATGATAAGACCTTATTTATTTTAGCTCGCACCAGTTTCGGCCTCTGAGAGTTGTCGATCGTAGGGGGTCGACAGCTGGTTACCGAGGAAACAGATCTATCAAATAGGGCTCTTGGAACCCGCCTGGGGGGTTGAACATGGGGAATGACATTATTTTTTAAGTAACGTCGTATTATGTTGGGAATGTACACAATCCATCAAAAATATCTATGGGTTAACATACTAGCCTACTAGTTGGTTAGGATGAACTTCTTTTACAAAATCAATTATCACCTGACAGTTATTGACCCTGCATAACAAGCTAGCCTCTCCACGGGGCTTGATTTTGAAATTATCATCACCATACGATACAAGTGTAATTTTTTTAGGTTTCAATTTATACTTTCTACCTGTGTAGAGTTCGAGTTGGATACTGAAGCCTCCAGTTGACATCTGCGTCCTTCGTTTGATTTTTTCACATTGATCCAATCAGTCATAAAAGTCCTCACCTTCTGTGTCACTTCTTTCGGACTCTTGATCTTTTTTTTACTTGTTTACGCACTAAGAAGCACTACCCCGATACTATGTTTCATCATGTGTTTTCCAAAATAAACCCAACTTCCGGCAATGGGGATTATTTATTAAAATTACTACTCACTCACACATGATCACTTTATTTTTAACATCTTGTCGAGGTTGACAACTACCTGAATATACAAGAATTATACAATAAACATACTACTAACTTATTAATTTAAACTAACATATTGTACAAAAGTAATATGTTTTCCTCTTATTTCCATCAATTGAAATTATCAGTGAAGTGATTATTGCGATCATGATTGTATTTGAAGCTAAGTGATGTGTACAAAACGCTAGTAATTGTATATACAAACTGTAACTTTGAACTTGATGGTACATGTAACCAATCTGCCACTGAAGTAACTTCATACACAAACACTCATTTTGTAATAAATATAGTTAAAAAACTAAAAAACACGCTTTTGAAGAACATCGAACAAAAAAGTTGAAAATATTTTTTCAAATAAGCGACGGGCGCTTGATATACAAAAAATATGGCACAAAGCGCCCACGTTTTTTTTACAATAATACTGTATTTTTCGTTCGTTATTGTTTTAAGCTTATTGAAAAAAAAAATATTTTCAACTTTATAGTTCGATGTTCTTTAAAAGCGTGTTTTTTAGTTTTTTGGACTCTATTTATTTTTTCATTTTTTAGTTTCGTATGCTATAAAAGCGTGTTTTTTAGTCATTTTAAACTATATTTATTTAATCTAAACTTTGGGATCAATCATCCGTATATTGTTTGGAAAAATTACCATTGATATTTTCCGAAAATCAGCTACCAAGCCCAAGGCAGCAGGCGCGCAAAGGAGGGTTACAAATAAGGCAGCAGGCGCGCAAAAGAGAGTTATAAATAAGGCAGCAGGCTTGAGTGGTAATAAAAAAATTATTTTTTCAAATGAAGAATAACAAGGAGGTTACGTACAGCGCCATCTGGCCGCGAGTAGATCAAGCAATAATGTCGATAAATCAATGAGGTTCCGTACAACACCATCTGCCCGCGAATAGATCAAGCAAGGAGAGTTACAAACAAACATACATTCATACAGGTGAAGCTAATAAAAGCGTGTTAAAAAAAATGTAACCATCCTTCGGAGTACCAGAGCACAGAAGCTCGTACATCAATGCTATATATTTCAAGTGACATTCAACGATTCAAATTGTAAATCATTCTTGATAATTCTAAATATCGCTCTCAATTCATAATATGCAGATGCAAAATTTTAAATGAAGTAGGTACAAGTTGGTTGAATTAAATTCAACATACATCAATGAATGGGTTCGTACAGAACCTTATCTCGACATGATATTTTTCCAGAAAATACAGTTTACATTGAACTTGTATGTGATGTCAACTACGTTTTTTCCATGTCATAGGTTACTATCCTCAGGTGAGTAAATAAGGTAAATTTCAATGAATATCAACTTTATGTAAATAGTTGGACATTTCGAAACTATCATTGAAATTGTTTGATGTGATATTTTTTGTCCTGTTGTGACGATTACACTTCTGAATCCAAAACGTTACAAACTTTAAAAAGCAAAAGTCAATAACATTGAGAACAATCACTTATTGTGGTTAGTTCTCAAGTTATGTTCATTTTTATCCAGAATTTTATGTGAGACACTTCTTATAAAACATATGGGACCTAGGGTCATGCTCGCTTACGTCACTGAATGCTTGGTTAGAGCTGATTAGACTCTCCTGGTTAGAAAGTTCAACTTTCATGGGAGTTACCCAGGTGGATTTGTTGATATAGTTTTTTCCCATTAAGACAAGGGGTGGATTTTATTTATGTGAAGATTGAAGTTATCCACGGTTTTCTAACTACGCTTTCATCAAGAAAGTTGAAATAGAGTAGGATTTCCTGGCGGTGTTACGACTATACTATAGAAGGTTATTCGAATAGACAAAACCTGAAACGAGGTTGGAAAAGAAATAAATTAAACAGGTACGTTTTTCATGATAACAGACCTGGAGGATTTTGGTACAATCAAATATGTTGAATGCCAAGTTCGGAAATAACAAGTAGTACAACGTCCTGTAGATTAGTTACAAACATATTATATTTATTAGTTATCGTAATAATGTTCATAAATATAATTCAATCATAATCTACGATAAATTATTAAACGGATTATTTGCACTGCTAAAGCGATGCCGCTTAGGGCTGATTTACATACGAACATAATTTATCTCGTAATATAATCACTTCATCTGTACCCCGCTGATTTTGAGGGGAAAAATTTTGTAATATTTGTGTATTATTATTTTTGCTATATAATAATTCATTCATCTTGAAAGTCGGCTCTGACAGTTTTTCATCTATTTTTGTCACAAAATTGGGTGATATATACAAATTGTCTCAACAATGTTATCGACTTTATTGGGTGAGCATTGAATATGTCTTTGTATTATTGTAAATTTTGACACCATTATATCAAACGCATATTCGACACTTCGGCGAGCTCGTGACAAACTACAGTTGAAGATTCTTTTAGGATTTTGAGTTTCAATAAATGTTTAGAAAGTGGAAAGGCAGCATCTGCGATGAAGTAGTAGGGAAAGGCTGGTTCATGTGTTTCTTTGGGTGAAGGATGTGACGGTAGAATATTCAATATATCTGCTTCAACGTTTCGTACAATACTTGAATTTTTAAATGCTGCCCCAAACAAGGTAGATTTTGGGAATTTGTACGATTGATGACCTATTTATTTCCTGGAAAATCATATTGAATATAGGATAGAGAAAATAACTTTTGTCTCATTTCTTCAAAGATATTTATTGGTTACGACCGTTTTTGGTTTATTAAACCATTCTCAAGTAAACTGACGCAGTTCGACTGCGTCTGGGAAGCTCTCGATATAAAATAGATTTTAATTGTGGCAACTCAAAACTAATATTTGACAATTAATTATTTATAACAACTCCTGTAGATTATTACGCCTGAATGGAAGCAAAAGCCAAAAACATTGAGAGACAACTCAACCCTCAAAATGTCAAAGTCAACATGACCAATACATAGGGATCTCCAAATATCTTCAACAGACTCTCATTCCTAGTTCTTCTCTATCTAATGTAGTTATCACTGGATACAATGCGAAAGTCACGTGATAGCCAGTCCAATATATTAAGTCTACGGGCGAAATGAGTACGTGTAACATGAAAGATGTCAATGTCATTATTATGATTATATACAAATCTTAGGCGATTATATAGTTATACTCACCTTTAAATTTGTTGTAATTGCGACAATTTTATTAGTCAAGTTAGCAGCGCCAGAAGAACATGCTTGAAAGGAGTTTATGAAAATGTTGATAAGAAATTGGAATGAGATTAATATGAATATTTTTCATAACCTGGTGTTAGTTTTGGGTATTTTCTCCGTTTTTGTTGACGCTCAAAGAATTGCCCCTGGAGTGCCACCTCAGCATTATCAGGTAAGTAATTCATATGGAAAATTACCATATGTTCAGTCATTAGTTTTTATTTTAGGGCATTTGGGACCTGCTTTTTTTGACAAAACCTATTATAATATAGACTGTAGATATGTGCCCAATTTCAAAATAAACCACATTTTTTACAATTATTAGTTGTCACGCCAATTTTTATGAGACTGATAGTTGCGCCGGTTTATCAGAAAATCTAAAACTAAGTTTTATATGTATCTCAAGTGAATATGTTGATCCATTCAATAAGGAAATGTTAGGGTAAATAAAAGTCATAAAATGTTTTATCCTCAAACATGAATCCACAAACTTTTCTCATAAATCTAATTTCAATGGCAAGGATCAAAATAACTAGATTAAGTTAGTGGTAGGAATGATTTTATGCAAATGAGGAGAAATTTTGAAATTGGGGTGTTGGAGCAGATATGTTTCTAATGCTTTCAAATATTTAAAAAGCATGTCCTTCACACTACCCAGAATATTGTTGATGAGAAATTCAGAATACATTTTTAGTGTGAAAGCTCAAGAATTCTGATAATTATGAGATAATCTTACAATGTTATCAAATCTCTTCCTCGGTAACTGTTCTCTGTCAAATCTGTTTCTCCGTTAACCAAATGAAGGACAATCTCAAAAGTATAATCTTGTGTGAACTAATGAGGTCTTACATTTTGAAGTGCGATCCCTAACACGTATTGGATGATATGCAGTGAACACTGATCTTCCGACAGTTGGGTTGAAACCCAAAATTCACATATCAGATGAGTGAATGAGTCATGTAGAACAAACCACTCATGCTAACCAGCCTGCTACCAATTGTGGAGAACAATAATCTAAAGTCAACGTGCTTGAAAACATTGTGAGGAAATAATTATATGATGGGTATTTATTAGTGTTTTGGGGTTATTTAATCCACAAAACATTTTTATTCACACTGAAACTTTCAATATAATGGATGAGGACAAATGAGGAGTTGTATTTACACTTATTAATTATAGATTCTAACTTCTACAAAAGGTACTAACAATGGAAATTAAACCTAATGGATATGATAATTACATTGTTTAATTTCTTTTTTTAAGGTGTTGATATTCCAATATTCTGAATACTGAACTGTTAAAAGTTTCATATTAAGTAAAAAAACTTCTATAGAAGGAAAAGAGATTCAATTTTCAATCAAAAAATCTTTGATCATAGTTATATTCGATTTGATGGAGTGAGGTAGACAATTATATATTTGTGGCCAATATAATTAGGATGCTTTATTGTAATACTTGTGTTGCAAAAGAAATAGAAAGGCTATCTTAAAATTTGACATATTGTACATGTTGAATATTTTAAGAATAGATTACCTAATATAATTTTGTAATATTTACTTGAATATTAAAAAATATGTCTTAAAGAATAGTCTGCTGGTACTCCCATCATTATTTTTAATATTTTTTATGGCAGATAAATAGAAAAATTTTGAATTTAAGTTTACTCAAAAAATGTTCACACTGATACTCAAAGTTCAAAAATTCATTGACATCCATTCTGAGAAACGCCACAACCATAATCATGAAAACTGAAGGTAGATTTTTCACAATCATCTTAGTATTATCAACAATGAAAAATAGATGATTGCTATTGAAATAACCGGCTAATTTATTCATTTGATTTTTATATTTGTTAACACAATATTCCTCATTAAAAATTTGAATAATTAATAAAAGTCATCATTATTTTTTCGATATCATTTACATATTTGTGTCTAAGCAATGATCCTTATGGATATCAAATTTGCTTTTCTCAGAGTTATGATATTGAATGATATTCAAATATTGAATGGAAGTCATATTTTGTGGAGGAAATCAGAGTTTTCTTCATTGACCTTTTTGGATATTTTCATCTTCGGCAATCTGAAAAAAATTGTAACGGGGAACTGTATATAGGTGTGAAAAAGGCAAAAGTTTTAGTTCACCCCTTTGAATAAATGCGTGAATTCAAGGTGTTTTTCACAAAGAAAAATTTTCTAAAAATAGGTAAGAAATTTAAGACATTTGATGTTTGAAGGTTAAAATCTGCTTTCATCTTCATAATTGGAAAAAATCTAATGATACCTCGGATTTTTTTTATTCTCTTTATTTTCTAACGTCCTCGAAATATGTTAAAGGAGTTTTGAAATGTGACATGTCAATATTGTTGATTGAAGAAGAAATTTATTGATATTAGTATGTTGCAATAGACATCTTCACTTTCCGAAAAATAAAATGACAAAATCCATATCATTCCTTTGTTTTGTAAGTAAATGGCTCATTCATCAGGAAGTAACACCCCCCAAATTTCTCCATACCTTCAAAATAGATCCCAAATAGTTCACTGCAATAATCAGAGCAGTTCAAGTCTGATAATACGCAAAGTTTTTCTACAAGGAAGCGTTTTGGGACCGCTATTGTTCTTGATTTATATAAATGACCTACCCAAAAGCATAAACGCATTAACAACCTTGTTTGCCGATGATGCTACCTTCGCAACCAGAATCGAAAAGAATTCTACAAGAATTGATGAAATTATAAGATCGATCATCAATCAAGCTACTGAGTGGTTCACGGTAAATGAACTAAGTTTGAACACACGCAAGACTCAGACACTTATTTTCAATACCACTCAGAGCGTAAAATTTCTAGGACACATTATTGATCCCAATTTAAACTGGAAACTTCATGTAGATCAATTAACAAGCAAGTTATCAAAAGCAATATTTGCAATTAGACGGATGAAATCGCTAGTGAACTTGGGGGCAGCCATCTCTGCTTACCATGGAATGTTTCACTGTATTATGACTTGCGGTCTAATTACTTGGGTCCAATCTTGCTACACTCAGTCGATATTTATTATCCAGAAAAGAGCCATTAGAGCTCTGGCCGGTATAACTCTACTTAAAAACGCACATGCATTTGTACACACTAAATGGAGATACACACAATTATCTGACTAGAATGAGATCCCACATCGCTATTCCAAATAACAGATTAACCTCTACGAATAAAAAATTTATTGGTATCAGATTATTCAACTCTCTACCAGACTTACTCACAATGCTCTGCCTATAATGACATCTTTGAATTTAGATTTCCTCAATGTTAGTCAATAAACTGTGCGTAACATTATTGAACCCACTTTAACAAACATGTAAATAAATTTTGAAATTTGTAATTCAAATAACAGTGTGAAAATGTATAATAATTATTGTGAAATCCAATATGTATATTTTAATAATAAAAAAATTTTATTTAGATTTAGGATTAGGTGTAGTCAATGACTTGTCAAAACACTGTCGTGTATTACTGACCAATAAAGTACAATACAATACAAAATCGAAATTTCTAAAATAACTGTGGCAGTCTTACATTGAGACTTACCTCCCTTTCAAACCTTGTTCAAAAATATATATGATTTTTGTTAGGCTGAAAAAAGTACATGAATGAATATAACACAACAAATACTCAAATAATATTTTCAACAAAATTCCAAATATGAAGTTTTTGTTTCGTAATATGAAATACTTCTGAATTTCGGAAGTAACCATCAAATCGACTTGAAAAACATGTTGGCAATGTCGCTTACATAGTCAGAACAACAAAAAAATGATGAAAGTATATTATGGAATAAGAAAAGCATAATCACTAAAACAACTCTGTCTGATAAGAAAACATACATAAAAACTGGAATGGCTACAGACAAATTCGAAACTAACCGAAATAAAGCCATCCATAAGACCCTAGACGCACCTTCCAAAAACCAGAAAACCAGGTGAGCAGCAAACAATCTGTGATATTTGTGATACAACAGTAACTGTCAAACAGTAACTGTCAAATTTGCCCCAAGTACCAAGGAGTAAGAATAAAAATCGGAATTCCGAAAGAACTATGACAAACTCTTAGCAACACTTGTAATGTTAAAAACATGATTCCTGACAAATATTAATGTTTCATTTAATTGTAATACAATGATCATGTAATGTATGTATATTTAATTTTCACAGAATTTTAGTTTTGAAAGTTTTTTGGATGGTTTTGTTTATGATACATATCTCTCATTCATGAAACATTTTGAGCAGAACGAATATTCTTTAGACACCACCACAATATCAGCAAGTACCCCAACAACAATACGGACAACAACAATACCAGCAAGCACCTATCCAGCAACAACAAGTGCCAATACAGCAGCAGCAAGTACCAGTCCAACATCAAGTACCTGGTCAGCAACAGGTTCCTGTTCAACAAATACCTGTTCAACAGCAGCTACCTGTTCAACAGCAACTACCTGGTCAACAGCAAGTACCTGTTCAACATCAGCAACCTCATCATCATGATCATGGCCGTCAACAGCAAATTTTAAATGCTGCCAATGTTGTTCAAGAGGCACAGTAAGTGTACCACAATTATCTTGTCTTTTTTACAACATCAACTTGTCTTATCAAAAAAAAGTAAATCACTGCAACTTTCAATAACCTTTTTGTTTTAGTGATAGGTCAAGGCACAGTAAGTGTACCCCAATAATCTTGTCTATTTAACAGCATCAACTTGTCTTATCAGAAAAAAAGTGAATTACTGCAACTTTCAATATTTTTGTTTTTTTGTTTTTTTTTGTATCTTGGGAGCTGTCTGACTTGTCCATTTAGTCCAAGTCTCCAGAAAACACTGCAGCCTCTTGGGCTTATTGCGTTTATTCTCCCATCTTCTCATGACACCCATTCCATCAGTCTCGTTCCCTGTACTAGTTTGTACAGGTTCCGTGTTGGATGTTCGTCATATTCTTCTGGGCGTAGTTTTGTATGTCCATATATAGCCTGCCTCATGTGATTCAGTGCCTCCCATTCGCATAAGATGTGTAGAGCTGTTTCTATCCCTTCGTTGCATAATCTGCAGCTGAGGTCTCCGTTGTACAGCCCTATTTTATTCAGGTTTCCTCTAAACGGACAATGACCGGTTAGTAACCCTGTAATTATTCTGAGCCGATCCCTACTATATTGAAGTAGTTCTTCAGTTCTTTTCTCGGACGGTTCCCTAATGAAGGTTCTACTGTGTTTGTTGCCAGGTACTTTTTTCCAGTGCTTCTTATTGGTCCATGTCCTAATCTGGTTTCGTACCAATGATTTTGGTATCCTCAGAGCTGGTTCAGGACCCTATATATGAAGTTGATGATCCGCATCTAGTGCATTCATCAGCTTTATCATTACTTATGATTCCTGAATGCCCTGGCACCCAGTACAAAGTTAATTTGTTCCTGTTTGCAAGTTCATTCAGTTCTTCATGGCATTCCCAGACCAGTTTTGATGTCACCTTCGGGTTTGTCAGACCCCTAGTGCGCTCTTGCTGAATGTAAAAATATTGATCAGCTCATTTCTTTGAGGTCTCAATTTGATAAGCCTTGCACACTGCAAGATAGCATACACTTCCGCCTGAAAGACGGATGTGTATAGTCCTAGCGGATAACTGTAGTTTAGATTTCTATCCGCTCGGTATATTCCAGCTCCCGTTCCATGTTTGGTCTTCGATCCATCTGTATACCAGGTGTTTTTTCCAAACATGTTTTCGGGATGACTAATGGTCTTCCACTCTTCACGGCTTATGATTTTGGCCGTGAAGTTTGTGTTAAAGTTGTACTTCGGTGTCATGTGGTCTGTGCACACATTCAATATGTGCTCCTCCACTTGTTCCGAAATTTCTGTTCGCTCCGACCTTTTGTAGTTCGGTGAGTTTTCCAGTCTGAATTGGCCAATCCTGGCCTTCCCCATTATCACAAAGTGTAAAGAGGCAGATTCAGGAGTGTCTCTAATGCAGCTGTTGGGGTAGTTATCATTGCTCCCGTCATTCCCAAACATGCAAGTCTGTGCACCTTACCTAGTTTGTTGATGGCGGTCGCCTGCTTCATCTTTATCCACCAGACCAGAGATGCGTATGTTATCATAGGTATAACCACCATCGTGTATAGCCAATATACCATATCTGGTTTTAGCCCCCATGTTTTTCCAAAGGTTCGTTTGACGAGCATTAGTGCTACCTCCGCTTTCCTCTATATACACCATCGTGTATAGCCAATATACCATGTCTGGTTTTAGCCCCCATGTTTTTCCATAGGTTCGTCTGGCGAGCATTACTTCACTACGTCTCGCATTTACGAAAGAAGGTTTATTGCCTATGTTTGAAATGTCCAAGTTATTTGCCATGATAAACTGTAGTAAGTGCTCTCCTCTTTCGTTGGTGTTGGTGTTTCCCCAGATTAGGTGGTGTGCATTTGCATCACAGCCAATTATAAGTTGTAGTCCCTCTGCTTGGCAGGCCCTAACCAACTCCTCCACTTTCCTGGTTGGTGGTGGTTCCGGACTGTCGTAAGGGAGGTATGCTGATCCAATGATGATTTCCTCAGGTCCGCCCCCGCCAGTCGTCTTTATTTTGACTGCCGTCAAGTCTCTGGAACACAAATTACTCAACGGCAGTATATTTATTCCTTTACGGATAATTATGCATTCTTGGGGTCTCTGAGGTTCTGTTATAAATTAACTCCCCTCTGATGCACCCCAATCCCATTACTTTTCCCCTGTACACCCAGGGTTCTTGTATGAGAGCAATAACAAACCCCCCCATCACTTTGGTAAGGACAGGCGAGGCCTCCGTACTGTGTTGCAGGTTTGTTTGTAGTACTCTCAACATTGCTGTTAAGACCCTTCAAGACCTTGAAGGTGACCATGCCCAGCTTATAGAAGGCTTTAAACATGTTCCCATCCAAGGCCCTGAAGGAACTTTCACTCGTGGAGTAGGCCAGGATTTGTCCTTCCTCTTCCACTTTTCTGCTCTCTCTGAGCCATTCTTTTGTTCCTTCATTCGCACAGGTTATCCATAGGACCCCTGCGCCGAATGAAGTTTTTTTGACTTGGAGGTTCTCGAGGCCACCAGAGGGAGTATTGTTCAATTCGCGGACAAGTCCCTCCTGGATCAGGCCTGCTTGACCCTGACTCAGGATGACCTCAGGGTGTCGGATGTCGGTGACCGCCACCCTCAGGCCCCTAGCAGCCTCGCTATAGGTCCCAGTTTCTTTGGAAGCTCTGGGTTTTTTCAGTACCTTCAGTGGGGGAGTTTTTACATCCTCTCTAGATCTCGTTTTGGCCCTTTCCACAGAAGTTACTTTGGTTTTTTTCGTTTTTCTGCGGTCTTTTGTATTACATTGTTTTTCAATCCATGTTCCCGCAGCTATTTTCCTTGCTTTCATCAGTTTGCGCCTTTGCCCTCCGGATGGCCTTCTCTTCTGCAGTTCGACTTTCGTCAATCCTGCAGTTCGACTTTCGTCAATCCTGCAGTTATGCTTTCGGCGGGGCTGGTGTTTCCCGCCGTTTGACTATCCTGGTCATTTTGCACCTCCAGGATAGTCTGATTTTGCGAGGAGTCGCTCGAAGAGTCCTCCTCTGATGTTCTGGTAGTTCTTGTTGTATCCATCCAAGTCTCACGAGTATGGGGGAAAGGGTTGTCCACATCCATGGTGCCCCCTGTATGGATGTAAGGCTGGATACTTTGGGACGTCGCCTGGTATCCCAAAGGCTCTGTTAGTGATACCTGATAAGGCTCAGGTACCATTCATCCTTTGGCACGGGTCGCATAACATCTTGGATTAGGCCTGGGTCCCTCTTGGTCTGACTGTACTGTTACGGCCTCTTCGGCATGGGAGACCCTACCAGCAGCTAAGCTGCCGCCGACGTAGCCCGTAACTTCATCACAGTACGCAAGCCCTTCCATCACGGCAAGGTGAAGACCCTCGGGAGGGATATATTTTTGTTTTAGTGAGAGGTCAAGGAAACTTTTTCATTCATTCATTTACGGGTCCATCCCTTTATTTAATAATAATAATAATAATGTTTATTTTAGAAAGTGTCAATCATTTTTGTAAAAAATAATTACATGTAATAAAATGACGTCACACACAATTATATTTCAAAATTGATCTTTTAAAAAATACTCAATAGGGTTTGAGATTATTTACAAAACAATCACAATTATATGTATATCACAGAAGAAAAAAGAAAATATAGTTATATTAAAATACATATATGTAACTCATCAGAAAATGAGTAAGGCAATAAATACATTTGAAATATCATATAAAAAAGCAGTGATGCCAAAATCTGTTACATTGGAGCTTGAATTTTGACAGAGTAATAATGGTGAATTCGCAAGGTGCACCATTTGACAATCTAGGAAAGTGAGATATTGGGCTATTATATAAATGATTAGTTTGATGATATGAAACAGCGAAAATTTCAGGGATGCTTTGAGACTCTGAAGCTTATTAGGAACAACATATCTGAACAGTGTACGTTCCCTGAAACCATCTTGAAAAAAGTGCAAAGATCCAAGTATTTACTGTCCAATTCAAGGGTTCTCACCTTTATCTTGACTATCATTTCATTATAAGTCCATTGCTCTCTAGAGATATAAAGTTTATGACCCCAGTGCCTTAGAAAATTATTCTGTGTTACATTGATTCTATCAATATGTACCTGATGGAAGGTGACCAAATAGGAGAAGAATAATTTGGAAGGGATTTGACTAGAGAAATATACAGTAAGCGGATTGATGATAGAGGCAATTCTATAAAATTACATATGATGAGTCCTAATCAGCTAAGACCTCTAGATACTGGTTCATTAATATGATATTGAAAAGAAATATTGCATTCAAAAACCACTCCAAGGTCAGTGAGACTATCAACTCTGCTTAAATAGGTACTATCAATAAAGTAGTTGGATTGAATTGAGGATTGTTTGCGCGAAAATGTTATAAAATGACACTTGCTGACGTTGAGCGACATTCCATTTTGAGCAGACCATAATGACAAGGTGTCAATGTTAACCTGCAGCTTGTGGCAATATTTGAGAGTGTTATTCGTAGGTACATCTTGGGGTCGACAGCGAAGAATGATGGTTTACACTATTTTAAGGATTTTGAGAGATCTGGGTGCATAATGGGATCCTTGACGAACCCCTGATAACACAATAACCTTGTCTGAGAAACAATTTTTTATATGTACAAGCTTCGTTCCACCCAACAAATAACTTCTCAATCATTTTATAAGCCAGTCTGGAAAACCAAGGGCCTCTAGTTTTGATAACCAGATTGAGTAATTAACTCTGTCAAAAGCTTTGGAATAATCTGTGTACATATAATCTATTTGATAATGGTTCTCAAAGGTTTGCATAATATGTTGGTATACAAGTAAATAAGTAACTGTTGATCTCTGAGGGACAAAGCCATGCTGGTAATGATCAAATATTCCTTTGCAATGCTAAAGTATGTATGCTATCAGAAGTTTTTTTCTCTACACCTCACCAGTGTGGTCACCATATTATCGAACTCACATCGATCGAATAGAAAGAGTGCATAGAAAATTTCTGAGGTGTATATCATTTAAAATGAATCTGTGATATGGTGAATACGATTACATGCAAGTTATGTAAAATTTTAACATTACCAGCTTAGAAAGTAGTAGAACAAGTTCTAACGATTACTCTCTATAAGATAGGTACTATCAGGAGTGATAGATTGTCCTTCATTGCTCCATTCAATTTATTTTAAAGTTTCAAACAGACCTATTTGAAACTCTGAATTATTCCAAGTTCCCTACAATCGCACAAATGATGGTTCATAGTACTTTGTCACGTTTTGTTAGATTAGGTAATGAATATTGCAATAGAGGTTTAGAATTTACTGGACAAACATCAAATTCATTCAAAACCAGCTTAAAAAGATTATTATTATAATTGTCCGTCTATTACTGTAGTACTGCCAAATTATTCATTTTTAGTTTACATTTAATATAAGTATGTATCTGTATTATATTTCATATGTAAAAAGGGGAAACCCGTGTATAATAAAATAAATAGGAATCAAAGGCAATACTTATTGGCCGATAGTTCGCAATATAACCCCAACTACCATTCTTTAAAACTTGGACTATATAGCTTGTGAGATAAATTTCAGGGAATTTATTCTGACTGAGTGAATTGTTGAATAAACAGTGAGTTGGTTTACACAAAGTAAAAATGCATTTTTTTTAAGTAGGGGAGCGAGAACATCATCTGGTACATTATCTGGACAGTACAACTAATGGAGAGATACCTCAAAAACATGTCACAAGAAGTGTGCATATAGGAGAAAAGAAGTGTGCATATAGGAGAAAAGAAGTGTGCATAAAGGAGAAAATGTCACAATATTTAAATTTGAAATCTGCAGTTCCACAAGGCTCCATACTAGATCCAGTACTATTTTCCATATATTCATCCAATCTCTAATCTAGCCTAGAGGCTAAATTTTCGTGCTAATGATGCTCAAATTCATTATAGGTTTCTGTTTCAATTAAAAATCAATGCTTGTGCAGTAGTGACCAGTGACTTAAATTTTTTTGTAAATTTAGCAAGAGAGCATTGTCTGATAATGAATGCTACTAAGCCTAGTGTTATTGTATTTGTATAACTGACAAATATAGTTGTCAAAAATGTCCGTCTAGGACTTGTGAATGAAGCTAAAAGTTTAGGACTATTATTAGATGTGGGCTTGAGGTTTAAAAACATATTAACAAGATCGTGCAGAGGCCACATTCAACCCTGAAAATGATATTCGGTAACAGAAAATATTCAATACTAGATTTGAAATACATCTTGTGTGAAACATAAGTTTCGTCGATTTTCAATTATGTAGATTCTGTCTATTGGTCCATTTCGTAGTTCACAATAAGCATAAAATGAAATATTCTTTAAAATCATCAGTATTTATAATATTGTCAATCGCCCCTCGAAATAAGACAGGAGAACAGAAAACACTTCAGTTTATTCAAATATCAACAATGGAATATTTGCAAGTATTATCAGTTCAGGAAAACAATTATTTTCATGAACCAAACTTTACCCTTTGTTTTCCTTTTAAATTTTATATATTTTTATACAACTACTTTTTTGTATATTTGTATTATATACGATGAACCCAAATACACTACAATACCTTTCAAGTGTGTATGTACCAACAGGAAGTAATTTTAGTGATTATAGGTTAAATCCCTATAATTGTACCAATAGTTTCAGTGAGATAGATTTTCAACTTCTTGAATAGTAACTATGGGTATATCTATTTTGATGTGTACGTCTGATGTTGAATATAATGATAATAATCACTTTATTATCTGAGCTTAAGTACCTGTTTCATGTAGTTGTCAACCTTAATTGAGAATGAATTGATTTTATTTTATAGGCATATAGCTGAGCACATGGATGTACCCATGGACACAAGCAAAATGACTGAACAGGAATTACAGTTTCATTACTTCAAAATGCACGATGCTGATAACAATAACAAACTGGATGGTTGTGAATTAATCAAATCACTCATACACTGGCATGGTAAGTTATTGGATATCAACAGAATGGGTGATTTTGATTTGTATATTCTGAATTCACAGAATACTCTTCGTGTCCACTTTGGTGTTTTCATGCGGAACTGTTTTGTTGAAAATTAGACCATATTGGTTCTCCTGAGAATGTTGTATATCAGGAGTATGTGGCAAACTAGAGTGACCAATTGTTAAGAACCTCACTTTGACACACATCATACTTTATGAGAACTGTTTCATTTAGAAATGGTGTTCTTGTTGTTTTTCAAAACTATGACCATATATAATCCACTACTATTTAAATCTAATCTTGATTGCTATGAGGATATAAAACAACCAGGAGTCTTTCTTGGAGTGCCTTAAGAATTTTTTGGGGTGCTTGTGAATCTTCAAAGTAAGATACAGTTGTTGGTATTGCTGACCTGATGACCACTGCTTAATTTTTGATACTGAATATTAATATTTAATACACATTTATTGGCGTAAGCACCGGTAGGCTAATATTTGAGAACTGCAATATACATGCTTACAGAATGTAAAGTATGCTTAATAATTGTGTATAATCTTGAAAGACCTTTCATTTTTATAAAGAAAGAAGAACATATTAAAAAAATCAATATATTTCAGTACATGACATAAATACAGTTATTAAAATTATACTATCTCGAATTTTAGTTTGTAATACAGGTATTTTTTCAAGTATAACACTTAGTGTACTTGTTTTATATAAAGTATACTTGGCTTTTATTGAGATTTGAAAGTTTAAATATTGACTATAGCATGAAAATATTTAGATGTTTCAGTAACCCAGTTTTCTACAATTTTCTCAAAAAAACATGAAAATCTCATTTCTTTAATGTTGGTTGGAATTTTTTCACACAGAATGTCTCATAAGTCATGGTCCAAACTGAAGGAGGTGAAGGAAAAGCTCATTTCTGATAAAAACTTTCATATAACATGGGGTCCGATTCCTTGCTGTTTTTGAAAAAAATAGCATTGAAAGAAAAGAATAAACTTTAAATTATATAAAACCCATCAATTTATTACATTACACAATTTATATGATATGAAAGCTTGTCACAAGGTTTATCCAATATTTAAAAAACATATTTTTCCTGGAATTTTCAAGTCAAGTTCAAGTTACTTACATATTCTATTGTTTTTCCTATACAGGTAAATCTTGCAACAAGTGACACATAAATTGTGTTATCTAATAAATTCATGGGTTTGATTTGATTTAAAGTTATTTTAAACTTGTAAATAAAAACGGGTACTGTTCAACTATTGATTAATTCTTTGTTTTTTAATAATTGCCGGTTATATTCGTTAATCTTTTAATGTGAGGTTGTTGCTTGGTCAGACCCTACAATATTTTTTCGAGCTCCACCAAACTATTCTTAACCTTTGCCAAATTATACCTCTGTAAAATTGGTATGACGGCCATCTTGTTTTTCACCTTTTGAATTTGCTCCCCATTGAACCCTTTCACTTGATATTCATATCATAGGGGTACTTTGATACAGTACATCATTTTTGGAAGACCACCATATTGGATATAGAGAGACATCATTTTATTTTCTCTCTTCTTTTCAGCAAACATTATCATTTGATAATCTTTCCCAAGGAGTATGTGATGTAGGTACTTAATCCGCCATCATGGCGATCTGCTATATTTGTTATTGTTCGTATTTTTTTTAGCAAATTCTTTCACTCTATACCCATGTAATGGGGCATAAAAAACCAGTCTGCCATCTTGGCGGTCCGCCATATTGCACTTAAGAGTGGCGTCATGTTATTGTTTGAGCAAACCCTTTCATTTGATACTCCTATCATGAGGGTTCATTAGAAAAATTGTCCGCCATTTGGATGGACCGCCATGTTGGATTAAGAGTGACGGGTAGTTATTTTTCGTGTTATTTTCAACAAACCCTTTCATTTAATATCCATATCAGAAGAGTGCATTAAAATCTAGTTCCCCATGTTGGGCTGTCCGCCATGTTGGATGTAAACTGGCATCACCTGTCATTCAAACTAAACGTGTATGCAAAATTTCTGCTTCATCGGTTGAGGATAACTGTTTCAAAATTCAGTTGCAAGATTTCATCTGAACTAAAATACACGCGAACATTGCAAGTTAAAAAAAAAGCTTGTAAAATTACATTGGCCAATAATTGCTTGTAAATTATGTAGGTCTTGTAAATTATGTATATCTCAGTATATTTGAAGTTGTGTAGGTTTGCTACCTACCTATCTTTTTATGAGTAGTTACGACTGGTGAATATCTGTTACTAACAACTTGAAATCAAACTGATTGCAAGTTGCTTGCCTGTTTATGAGCAACATACTTTTTTATTCCTATAAAATAAGTATTATTCCCGAACATCAAAACTGCAACACTTTTTTCAACGCACATTTCACCAACCAAGCCTACTAATGTGTATTTCATCTCCTGAAGACACCAACTCGATTGGTGAAACGCACGTCGAGAAATGTTACGGCCTTGGTGTTTGGGAGCGGTACATGTTTTGGATTTATTCTAGCCCAGAGTTTTCAGTTCTAGCTTTCATTGGTGAAAAATAAGTTCGTACATTCAAATCTGACTTTCAAAATCAATGGTGACCAACACAACCATTCGACAAGATATTCAGGCAGTCTAAAATTAATGAAAATGAGAACAAATATTTGTTCAAGATTCATTTATTATACAGGTATCAAGTTTTACAATGAGCTACCAAATACCTTGAAAATTTAATAAATAACAATCCCAAATTAATTTGAAAAATATTTATTTTTCATTTCTTTGATTCAGTTAGTTTTGAAAATGGTGTAATGACCGAAGCTAGTCAACAAATATAGAACTATCATGGAAAATAGTCAAAATCTGTTTTTGTAGTGTATCCTCAGTTATTTATTTTTCAAGTTTCATTTCTGATTCCTTTTTTTTGTGCTCTGTTCGTACTTAGTTACTCGTATGTTGTATTTAGTTTTTGAATTATTTTTTCCCTGCTATAAACATTGTATGTTTCTTGGGAAAATAAGTCGTTACTCTATTGTTGATTCTTGTTATTAACGATTGCTAGAAAATTAAAAAGATGCCGACTAATTAGCTTAGTAGTTCTCTTGTCTTTAAGAAAAACAGTTGAAGGCCATATACCTGGGCAACAGAAAAAAATACCCCAAGTTTATGATGACAATTAAGTATTTTTAAGAAGATTCTATACTTAGTATATGTCAGATCCTACTTTATATGTGCATACCCAGGGTCATAATTACAAGAATTTTATGCAGAACAAAAAATGTAATCAACGAATAGTAGGTAACGATCACTTCCAGCACCAAATTGGCATTGATTCATGAGCGGATTAAAAAATGGAACAATAATTTACCGGTTAAAAATAGTGGAATAATAATAATACTTTATTTCCATAAAGATAATATAAAGTTGGAAACTGTCAACACCTGGCAACATTTTATGTTTAATTTTGCAAAACAATCTGCCAGCTTTGCTAAAAGAACCTTCAATATTCGGTGATGACGCTCCATCACATTTAACCTGCCAAGTACTGCTATTTCTAACAAATATCTATCAAAGATGATTCATTGAAAGGGGTGGAAAAATATCATGGTTATCTTGGTCCATCTTGATTTTTTCTATGGGGGTATTTCATATTTCTTTCACAAAGTGATGAAAGAAAAACGAAGTTAGCTGCCAGTATTTAGATATCTCCAAAGAAACTTCGTTCATTGTTGTAGGCTATTCATTAGACAAAATATTTTTCATAAATTTGTGGCGTACTTATTTAAACCACAAATATATAGGTATACATGAACAAGGGGTGAAATTCCACGAGTCTTCCTGAATTGGTAGACACGACTAGACAATAATTATTTAAGAAAATTGTCCTCAACCACGCTAGTTAGTGGCCTATCTCGCATCGAATTTCCTATAAAATGGACATTGGCTCATAAGGTAGACAGTCGGACAACGACGTAGCAGGCAGTGAACGATCAAGATATAGATGAAGCCAAATTTTCCGGATAAAGTTGAATCGATTGAATTCAACGTCAACTCATCTGAATCTGATCCTTCTTGATCTTTTTCCTTTTTTTAGGCCTGAAACGAGAACATCCTTTCTGCAAATCTACCGCAAATAACTAGAAATTGTAATATTTTGAATTATTTACCGTAGATTCTTTGTAGGCCTTTGAAGTTGAATAGGTACACATCAGACAGCACCGACCTTTTTCTCTGCTTGATGTTCGTTCACTGAAGCCTCCTACAGTTGCTTCAATTGTCGTCTGTCTACCTGCATGCCATTTCAATTGAACTATCGAAATGTATATACAGGTAGTCCCAGTCTCTCATTAATGAACCATTACAAATTTTATCATATATTTTACCTCTTTCATTTTCTATCAAGAGCATGCTATTTTCATTAAATCAAAATTTTAATTATTGATCCAATTAAATATTTCCGGTTATAATTTGCTTTGAGGACATTGCCTTGTCACCTTCAATAATATCTACCAGGCGTAAAAACCTGCAGACCACCGCTAAAGAAACCAGAAAATAGCTTTGACAGAAAAATATTATTGGCTAAAATACAAATTGCGTATATAAGGGCTTTAACAAAAACTCAACGAGATTGAAAATAATATAATAATATAAAGTAAAATCTTATTTTAATTAATAAAAAATGTAGTTTTTACCAAAAGAGCTAGATTTATTCACTGAGTTGTCTGGAGGGAGGTACTGTTGTTTAAATTGTTGCCAATTTTGAAAGAACAAGCTGAAAAAAAGTTTAACTTTTGAGGGTTGTCGTTTGTAGAAGGGTGACAGCTGGTTAATAAAGGAATGGGGAAGGAAGGAAGGCCAACAATCCTGCTACTTACTTCAGAAAAAACATTGATAACGTCCTTGGCTCAAATCACAAAAAATAAAAACTACTTGAAAACAGTAAGGAATGGGACCCATGTTATATTAATTTTTATCATAAATGACCTCCTATATGCACCTCAGTTTGGACCATGACTTATGAGTCATGACCTGATATATTCCAAAGAATATTAAAGACATAATAATTTTCATGCCATAACCTATATTAAAACTTTCAAATTTTGGTTTATATATAAAACAAGTAGTTGATTATCTGTTACTACAAGTTGTCTGTTGATTTACATATATTATTTTATAGTCTAGCAATGGTTTTAAGAGTGGAACTCTAACCAACCAGCTACCATCCAAATTGATACGAAGGACAAAACCGTTCTCAAGACCTTTTGACTTCTTCTGTAGATCTGGCTCAGAACAAGTCTCCTTTGAGAGTTGAAAATTTGTACAAGACGATGGGAGTCCCTTATTTTGAAGTGTTTTGCCAATACAAAATAAAATCAATATTAGAAAACCTAACTTTAAGTTTTAATAATATTTTTCCTCTAGAGGAAAATAGTGTGTTTATTAAACATCACAGCTACAGTATGAATGTGTATGTGAATTTTGTGACCTCTAACTAACGTTGATATGTTGATGCTTTCATTTCATTCATTTTCTATGTTGCTGAATCCAGAGCAGGGTAACAAGGAGAAACCTGGTACTATGGAGGAGAAAGTGTTCAAAGATGAAGAGTTGGTGAACCTGATTGATCCCATTCTCAATGTTGATGACTACAACAAAGATGGTTTCATTGATTATCCTGAATTCATTAGAGCACAGCAGAAAGCAGCCGGACAAGCTAAACCTCAAGCTTAATGTATGTTTTGTTTTGTATTGTTTCATTCATGTGCATGTTTTACATTTCATTTCAATTTCAAACAAGAAGGTGCAATTTTGTTAGAGTAAGGCTTTTGCTGCTATTTTCTCACTTTGGAATAAAAATAATTGATTTATTGGAAATTAACTTTGTATATGTGTTTTCGCTTCATCGACTAACTCCAGTACAAATTACCTGAAGAAGTCTGAACCTGTCAGATTTGACGTTTTCAAAAATATCTATATTTTCGGTTTTTTTTTTGTTACATAAACTCAAATAACCTCTAATTTATGGAATATTTCTCTGACCTATCTTGTATACAATCCACGTGCTTTTAGAATTACCTCGCAAACGCTTTACATTTGAGTGAAGACACCTATCTTCCATCCAACGTCAGATTATCCGATTCACTAGGTCAGAGGCCTTTGTAAAATACAGATAAATTAAAGGTCGATATTAAGACATGTTGATGGATTAACAAATTGGTTAAAGTTGATTTGTTGTTAGTGAAACCTTGTTGACGATCATTGATAAGATATATACAGATGCCCCTCTATGAATTTCTCAAGCAACTTGGGCATGGCAGACAATATAGAAATTTCACAATAGTTTTTTACGTCTCCTCGTTCCATTCTTAAATATAGATGTTATCTAACTAACGAGCCATTTTTCAGTAAATATGGATGATAAAGAGAGGTTGAATATTATCTGAAGCGACACAGTTAATGTGGCAGAACAACATTTTAGGAAATGAGGTGGAATGAAATAGCAAAAATGATACAAACAAGTGTTCTCTTTCAAGATCTTGTTAACACATTCCTAAGCCATTATGTTCAAACTGATGTGAGACTATGCATCTGCAAAATGAACATTTAGTAAACAAACTTATCCAAACAATGTTTCAACTGTTTGATTGAACAATATTTCATCCATTTGCTTTGAAGCTAAGGATACACATTGACAAATAAACTGTAGAAAAATTACAATTATTACTACACACTTTTCAACAAAATATTCAAAGAAGCGGGAGTGTGTTCTTCATATGGTGGTATCGAAACATATGAAGTATCTATTTTTGCAAGCTATTTTTCCTCAAACAATTTGAGAATTTTCACCATACTTGTATATTTCCCTCGTTCATACACAGCAAAGGGGATAAGTTGGTTCGTTCCACTCACAGGTTTTTGCAGCTACTTCGTAATCAAGCAGAGTAGCACTATTTTCTTCATTAATCAAAGCTGTGATATCGAAGATATCATTGGGGTTTCAAGGGTAAAATTTTCAGTAAGGTATTTATGAAGTAAATGGTGATGAAGCTGGTCAGTTGTTTAAACAACATTGTTTCCTTTTCTTAAAGTTTTCTTTGTGAATACGAGACAGTGATAAATTTTTTTGAATTTTTGTAAGTTCTAGATTAAGTTCATCTTTGTTTCAAACTTTGCAAATTCTCACTTGTTTTGTTTCAGACATGTTTTTTTTTTTTGGAGATTTTGATTCATGACAATGTAATTGAAGAAATTTTGTTATTAGAAATTTATTTTCTGACTGAAATTTTTAATCTTATAGTTATCCTTATAGCTTCTGACATTTGTTGAATCTAGTTCGAAAAGTCTATAGAGATTCCTTGTGGTTCTCATTTTTTTTTTTTTTGATGAGGTAGCTTCCCCATTTTGCTAGTGAGCGAGGAAGTAATTTATTTACGAAACTGGATGGAATATTCCTCTGCTCTATGTAACAGACTATTTCTCCTTCAACCACACTTCTAACATTTCGAAATGTTCATTGAAACTCCAAAAAAATCCTACACTTTCTACAGGAGGCAAATGACGTGCTTTCGTTAGCAACTTGAGACTTCCATGTTTTGCTTGGTTTTTGAACTGCTATTAAGAGCATTTCTGTGGTTTTTCATGCTTCACCAATTAATATCATATTCAGTCGTTCCTTAATTCATATTGGGATATGTAAATTGGCCATCGAAAGTATTGAGGTAACAGTAGTATGACAGACTGACGTTTCATTGATAGATCTTGTCAAATCTGCAATTTGGTTAGTTTATGACATTTCCTCTTTGACAGTGTTATTACAAGTCACTGATATTTTATCTCTGAAGACTTAAGACACATCTCCCTGATTGCTTTCTTCTTAAAAATAACTAGATTAGTTTTTGAGTTTATAAATTCTGAAGTGTTAATATTTTGATTTTTTTAAATATCATATCCAAAGGGAGTTAACCCTAAATTGAACCTGTACCTTGACGAATAATTAGTGCTCCCTAAATTTTCTAATGCAATTTTCTTCGCAAGATTTTCAGGACAACTGTCTACTGATTCATAAGGAAGGACATGTTCCACATAATCTGTATCAGAACCATTTCTCAAGTTGCTATTGATCCTTCCAAGTGATGAAGGGTTTCGTAGAAGGATCGACTCGGCTCTTGCTCCATGAAGCTCTTCCACTGAATGGGAATCAAAACCACGAGGACTGCAGCTCATATTTGGGAGACAAGAATGACCTATGTCCATTGACCGCACTGAAAAAGAAGAAGGTGGATCAATCACTAGGAGACTGATAATCATACACATATCTTGACTTGTTTTCAAGAGATTTTAGTTCCGTACATTGGCAGGTCGAAATCTTCAGATAATGTGGTTTTTCCGGGTTTTCCTGCAGCTAAAAAGCAAATGCGTCACTGGAATCAATGAATTCGCCCCGGAGCGCCAATTAATTTTTGTTGTTGTTTTATAATTTCATCATTTGTATTTTGGAAGTGTTATCATATAAAAAGTTTCGTACTGAAATAAGGGCAATGCATGATCTCATTAAAATTATGTGAAAGAGGAATAGTTCCAAGTACCTAAGCAGCATTACAACGTTGAATAGTAATACTAATTATTTCTATCAAAAAAGTGGTAGAATGGTAATCTTTTGTTACTTGGCCTAATCTCCTTCATGAACGAATAAAAGAGACTCCAGGCTATAAACACCAAAAGTTGCAACTGCTACTGGATGGAACAGATAGTTGTTACCAAGATTTTGGTATTTTTTTCGTTTTAATTTTTCGCTAGACAATGCTGTAGTTCCAGCAGACTTCGAACTTTTGGCTAGATGGGAAGCTGCGACCGTATCAACGCAAGAAGTCCAATACCACAGCTTTACCATATTTCCATGGCATGAGAGACATACCATCTGGTCGTTTACCATCATCTCGACTGGTACCTAAGGGTTACAGAATTGCAGGAACATCCACTGACACCATAGATAGCCCGTTTCACCCCTGGTGATGTCGAGATGTACGCCCTGCACTTCTCCTGCAACTCAAACCATATGTACCTTTCTCATCAAACCCAAACCCAAATATGAGGCACAAAAATAGATAAACCTATCTTAAGTCCTACTGCTATTCTGAAAAAATCATTGTCTAATAGTGTTCCAAAAGATGCAACAGGTAAAGCATTCAACCAAGCACCCGATTCCTTGATCATTGCTGCTTTCAGACTAGACCTATTGTATACACTTGTAGATTTCAGAAGTTTATCATTTATAATGTTCAGAAGAGGTCGGTCGCATGCCCTTAGTATTTTCTTTTCATCTGTAGGAGGAGCAATATTAGTTGCGGCATGCCAAAGTGATTCACCTTTGGCATAAAAAACGTCTTTGATATTGATAAATATAGAAGGAAGGATGGAATCAGTAAGATTATAAACACTATTGACTGACAACAGAAAAGCTGGTGAAGCTAAGGAAGGAGCCGAATGTAGCCCTAGTCTGCCAAGGTTTACAGAAAGCGTTGCTCGGAACCATGAATCATTATTAAAATAATTGTTTGTAACATATTCCGTTGTGTTACAGAGTAAATTATCAAAATTCATCAAGCTCTAACTGTCTTGACCAAGTGGGGAAACATCTGAGGGCGTACATGGGTTTTGGAAGTTCATTCAATCTGGTGATCAGCAATTTGAGTGATTCCTGTTATTCTCGAAGATGTTTTGAAAGTGAATCTTTAGAAAGAGGAGCACCCAGGAGACTCTATTTAGACTTTTCCAAAATTTTTATACCAGGAGCCAATTTCAAAATGATGGATTCGGAAATATTATTCGGAGCTGAAAGAGTAATCAACTCGCATTTATCAAAATTTAGTTCAAGTCCAAGATATTTTGAATAATCAATGATTTTTTTCTAAATCCTTTAAAACACTGTTTTCATCGTTTTCTAAATCCTTTAAAACAATGTTTTCATCGCCAGCGATTGAGCCATCCTCCAAATACCAACAATTAAATTCGGATGATAAACTTCTAGTGATATTGAAAGTATTATTCAATTCTCCTACTTTGTTGAACTGAATTTGTACATAAAAAAATTTCATGTTTTTGACATGTTCGTTTCGAATTCCCACCTTGTTCATGCTTTTTTTTTTCTTAATTATAATCAATTAATATTTCAGATGGTAAGGAGGCAGATTCAGTGAATGACGAAGAATTGGCCAAATTTGTAGATCCACTTCTGCAAGATATCGACTTAGACCATGATGGATTCATAACTTATATAGAATATAAAAAAGCCCAAGAAGTGAGATAAAATGCAAAAATTCATGCCATACAAATATCTCTTGTAGTTCAGGTTCTTTGTCCATTATGAAATATTATTTTAATTTGCTCAAGAGATAATTGTTCGTGCAATGCATTCCAAGGTTGTTCGTTCCATCCATGTCTGGTAAATTATTGTTATTTTATGTTTGAATTTTGTTTATTCTGATTTTTTGTACGTATTAAATGTGATAGGAAAATTTATACAAATTTGAAATACAAACATTTTCGAAGAAATTGTTTCATTCAAGCAAAATAAATGAAAGTGAGGGATTATTATCACTTATTTATTAAAAAATGAATTATGAATTTTCAATGTTATGTTACGTTTTTACCCGTGTGTTCATTAATAATTGACTACACTGAATAATCAAACTTAATTGTATTTCACTTGAAATACAACAAACACTTCAACTAAAAATTTCAACTATTATTTTAATGTCTATTGCCTTTTACTAGATTACTTCGCATACCGCACTGTTACGACACCTCACCTCACTGTGTACTTGACTGTCTAAATACCCTTGCAGCCAGCGTTTAAATATCGCAACTTCAAGAGGAAGGTTGAATCTTGATTGCTTGTTATGGAATATTTCATTCATCAGTATCGGTTGAGAATAAAGCAATACGACAAAAAATACAATTCTGTATTGCAATAAATTTATTGATGTAGCCTTTTCTATGTGGTAGGAGATTATCGTGAGAAATAACACTATGTTTTTACCAAGTTTTATTTGTAACTATCGTTAATGCAGTTTTGTCCTATATGGACATTTTCAAACTAATACAATAAAAGTTTTATTGTATTAGAAACATAGAAAGTTTAATTTTTCATTCTGTATTGCATTTGAGGGAGTTTAAAAATGCTCATAAGTAGACTTTTTTTTTTTAATATTAGAAACATAGAAAGTTTAATTTTTCATTCTGTATTGCATTTGAGGGAGTTTAAAAATGCTCATAAGTAGACTTTTTTTTTAAAAATCACCTTGTAGAGAATCCACTGGGTAATAATGATGATAAATGCAGTTCAGAAGTATCAACTGTAGGTTTTGCTCAGAAATCTTAAAAAACCTATCTGGGTCTATTGAAAAATGAAAAAATATTGAAGAAAATGTATTCTGTTCTGAAACTATGATTGCTTCGCCACTAAAATCAAATATCTTATACTGTTGAAAAATATTAGGTACATGAATAGTATGACAGATGGATAAATAATCGAAAGCTATCTTTAAATTGAAAGGGGTATATTTTCAGGAGAGATTATTTTTTGGGAAAAAAGCTTTTGGCTTTCACTTTTCCATCTTTATGGAAAAAATTGTAGGAAATTTCCGAGGGGTAAGAAAAAAACAACTTAGTTCGAAATGAACTCTTCACAAAGATGGGTATATCATGTATAAAAGTTACTTTCAGAATCAAACTAGAAAACAAAGACCTCCTGAAAACCATATTTTGATATTAGAAGAGTTTTTCAATGTAGATCACTTTAGTTAGAATGATTATCGTTGGTCACTAAACAAATTTGAATTTGAAGATAAACCAAATATCATTTAAAGTAATTGAAACATTTGATTTAATTTAATTTTTTTAAATATATTTTCGAGAAACTTCAAAAATGAATCTATTCTGCATTGTTCCTCCCTTCGAATTTGTTTCCAAACGCTAATTAGGGACTACACAATATTCAGTTCGGGTAGATACCAAAATTAACCCAATAGTATTGTTCTTTAATTCGACAAGAATCTATTTTCAATTTCATATGTGAACTTTTTTTAATGGAGAAGCACAAGAACTGCACGAAAATTCTCGAAATGCTTTTCAAAGAAGAGAGAAGTCTCCAACTTTCCTCTTATCAAAAGAACAGTTCTCTTCTGAATAGAACCTTCAGGATATGATGGGTAAATCCATATATGTGAGAAATAACCAAAAGTAAAAGGAAAAACAACTCGTGATTTTCTGGTACCTATATAGAAAGAATAATCAGTGATTTTTTATCAAATGCTGCTCAATGGCACTCTTGGAGATCCAACCTTTTGAGTTAGTGAAAAGTTGAAAATATTTGAGCATAGATGATGGTGAGCAATAACCATGACAAACATCAATGCAAACAAATTAAATTTGTAAAACTAATTTACTCTGTAGTTTTAGAAATACAACTTCACCTGGTTTTGAATAATAATAAAATATGTGTACATATTTCATTATCATGAAAAGTCTTGGTCCAAGTTTCCACAAATCAAGCTGAGAACATTGTCCATATGCCTATCGATACACAAACCCTCGTAAGTGTACTGATTTGGACTTTGAATGACATCATCTCTGAACACTTGATAATTAACACAGAAATATCTTGTGCAAGCATTTTGATACCTCCCTTTGTCAATCAGCTCTTTTATATAATTGATATCATTTGTCTGTAATCCATCACATTGTAATTTTTGTATTAAGTTTTCTTTATCCCAATGTTTAAAGGGACATCCATGATACTGTCCAGGTGATGGAGAATATTTTTGAATATTCTCGCAAGTAAATGGTCTGTACTGAATTCTTCCTCCAACCATTCCATACTGGTGTTTGAAAAGATAGGAATATTTGCGCTGATATAAGTCCAGTGACATACTTTGAGTGAATTCGTTTTTCCAAAACTGCATTGCATTCTCATAAGATAGTCCTGTACACTTCAAAAATATTCCATATTGCATTTTGCTATCATATTTGAGGTGGTGATCATTTCGTAAAGCAAGGTGGATAGTCTTCATGCATAATGGATAATGGTTGTTAGCAACTTCATCTATATTTTCCAAGTTAATATCATCAATAGAGTATAGTTGGTACTCCTTTGGGATAAAAGGTGATATATTTTGCAACAAAAATTTTATATGGTCATCTTTTGCAATTACTGAAAACATTTTGTTGATCCACTGTAGGTGAATGGAGATCTGGGTCCGTAATCTATCAACTATGCAGTAAATGATATCGGTCTCTGGAAAATATGCAATACCTTTGAGTAGAAATATCTTTTTCAAAGCTACTAGTTGTGCAATTTCAGTAAAATATGTTTTGAAGTAAGAAAGACTTTCAAATTTAGCTTCTGTGAAATTTCTGTCCCTCAACAACTTATCTTTCATAGATTCTTTTTCCTCTGACGATACAGGTAAATATACAAAGTCATTTTCCACTAGGAACTTTTGCAAATCACTTTGATCCATTCGTCTATATATCAATATGAACCATTGTAGCTCCCATATGATGAAACAGTGCCGAAGTTTATGTGTTCGACAATAACCTGAAACAAAGATAGGAAAATTAATCATAAGCAAATGTGAATGAATATAAAACTACTACAGCTCTACTAAAGTGAAGTTGCCACACATATACACAACGAAAAAAATTAATTCGACACCCTAATTTTCGCTTCTTCAAACAGATTATTATAGAAATATCAATTTTAAGTTATTAGACTCTATGAAAAGATGGGACATGATATCAGTGGGATAAAAAAACTTTTATGAAAATGAATTGGTAAATTCTTTTCTGTTTTTGAGATATATTTGATGGCATATTTCTAATAATTTGTCACGTCTCGTGAGTTGGGTTGGTGAGGGGGTGGTGTATTCAACAGAATAATTCGATTCAGTGTAATAATAACCCATTCTTATTTTTATTATGTTTTTATTGCAGATGAGAATCCTGATGATACATTCCATATAGTTTTTACTTGGAGAGGTAGTTACTTTGAACAATTAAATAACTTGTTTTAATGAAATAATACGCATTCTTAATTCAATATATGTTATCGTAGAAATCTAACCTAACCTCATTTCCTAAAAAAGAAAAATAAAATAACTACAATATGTCTAACAACTTGTCTGAATATTTAAATACATAAATATTCATTAAAATACATGAATAGAAGAATATAATGAAAATATCAATATAATAGAATGAAAATATCAATAAAAGTATGGTTGAGTCTCAATATATAAAAATGGTAGCACATTTAAAATGGTTTGCAAGTTGAAATAAATGAACAGAACAGTTGAGATAATGAACAGCAATAATAAAATTATCAAACATGTGTTTTTTATTTGCTTGGTATTTCTGAATGTCGCAGATTGTTTTGCCCTAAAAAAGAATTGGGTTGTTTGTCGTCTTCCGAGATTAATTTTTCTCTTCTGAAGTCTAACCTCCTATAACCCACCCCACTAGGTCAGAAAGAGGGTTTGTATAATTCTTCTTTGAACGATTTCGAATGGTTATCAGTTCTGATTAGTTTCACAATGAAGTTCTCTTTGGGATCTGTTTTTTTTGCTCAGATATTTTTTTGTATCATTTTCCTCAACTACTCTTTCTTCTTCATAAATATACATCTACACTCTTGGGTTTACTCCTTCAAATTTTCAATTTTCGTTAACTAATTGACTAATTTGGCGGTTTGATGGTTGTTTTCAAAAAGTAATGATGCTACAACTAGAACAAACTATTTTCGTGAAGAGATTTCAAAATTAAAACTTGTGATTCATAATAAGGATATTGAATTAGATAATTTAACTGTCGAGTATAATGAAAAAATTGATGAAATGCAACAAACTGTTGATTAAATGTACAAAGACATCAAGGAAAACGGCAGTTATATTAAGCGGCTGAATAAAAGAACTCGAGACTTCAAAAATGATGTGTTTGAAATGGAGAATAAAGATGGTCAAAAATTGAAGTATCAAGAATATTGCAAAGAACTGAGAAAACTACAAAATGAAATGAGTTTTTCAATTGAATCAGGCCAATCCTGGGCAAGAAGTAACAGAGAAAATTACACATAAAAATGAAGTTAAACGAACAAATAGATTGTGCAAAAGTAAAGAACATACAGTCAAACCTAACGATTCTTTTAAAATATTGCTCCTATGTGATCAATGCGGTCATGAGTTAGGTGAAATGTTAAATCGGCATCTTCAAAATCATAATATTTTGTCAATCATTAAACCGTTCACTTGCCTGAACAGCATTATCGAAAAATGACCCCATTTGGCAAAAGATTTCACATGGTTCTGTAATTATATTAGGATGATCAAATGACTTTAAGAATAAACAATACCCACTTTTCAAAAACATGAATGGTAGTCAAAAAGCTGTCTAGATAAAAATTTGTATGTTATTACAAATTAATTTACAAATTCAATTACAAACTGAATGCATATCTATATAAGTTGAATGAATGTACAAAAAGTTTCGTTAATTTTATAGATGTAAATAATGATAAGGGTAAATGCTTAACAAAAACTGAATTATCTATTAAGTTAGTAAAAAATGTTAATTATAATGTGGTTGCTAATAATTATTCAATATTTGTCTCATGTGACCAGGAAAATTTTTTCATGGATACTTCAGAACAAACAGATCTATAGCAAGTGAGAGTGTGAATGTTAATGCTCAGGTTGAGGATAAAAATAAATACAGATGGTACATTTTCTATACAGTCTTATAAAAAACTTGGATAATTTGTTGCACTGTATCTCGTTGCACAAACCTTTTTTACTATGAATAACTTTTTTCGAGATCAATTGCCCTAACACCAAACTGATATTTTTGCACTCGACGTGCGTTTCGCCAACAAAGTTAGCATCCTCAGGAGAAGAAAATTGAAACCTAGTCTAGTCTGGTTAATCCTTATATACTAAAATTTGTTACCTGAGGTTGTATACCTGAAGTCCAATATGGAATTTCTCGGTAATTAACTACCTGCAAGTTCTTAGTAATTATTCTCTTCCTAACAGAAGCTTGGAAAGCGGGCTAAACGGGATGGATCCCTTATCGCCATTCATGCTGTTCTTACATTTTGCTATCTCTAGACTCTCACATGCATCGAGTAGCCTGGTGTCATGCACATGCTTAATCAGTTTCAGATTGTTTTCACCAATTCTGTGGTCCTTGTCTAGAGCATGTTGGGCGACACTGGATTTTTCTATCCTTCCCTATTTCATGTGTGCACAATGCTCCTTGAAGCAGGTTTTAATCGCTCGTCGGCTCTGGCCGATGTATTTGCTGTTGCAATCTTGTTTGCTATGTTTATCAGAAACTTGTATTACGGATGATATTGCTCATCATGAAATTGACATAAATGGATATGAGCTAGTACTTTGTAATTCATCCAGCAGACATACGGGAAGAATTGCCATATATATCAAAAGTAGGTTGAAATTTGAACTAATTTCAAAAGATGTTATTTTCATGAATGTTTGATTTGAGGTTATCAGGGTTGTTGTAAATATTACAGTATACATAATGTGTGTGGTGTACCATTCTCCCGGATCATCACATGCCGATTTTTTAGCATTCTTGGAAGAAAAACTAGAAGAGATAGTAAATTGTAATTGTGATATTATTATAGTGGATAATTTCAATCTAAATCTTAAAGGCACAGAGAACACTTACACCCGAGGAATCAAAGAACTGATTAAATTCATGGGACTCTATCAATTAGTTAACGATTATACCAGAATCACCAAGGATTCATCCTCATTGATCAACTATTTCATAACAGATAACAAATAGTTGAAAATTGAGCTATCTCATCTTCAAAGTTTTTCAGATCATTCTAATATTTTTAATATCCCTAGGTAATGTCTTTCATACTAAATCAACTTCCGCTAGAATATGTTGGAGAGATTATAAATACTTTGATGAAATTAAATTCCAACTGCCCCTAATGAATACGTTATGGAAGAATGATATTACTGCCATTAATGAAACATCCAATTTATTCATCAATAATAGTATTAGATGCTTGGACAATCATGCACCATTCAATATAAAGCATAATTTCAAATTGAAAGTGTGGTTTACAGACGAAAATCCAAGGAAACAAAGTGACTGGGATAAATATAAAATAAGTCTTAATTTCTTTACCAAAAAGATACGAATTGAAACTAAGAAGTAATATGAATCAAAGATCAATGAAAATAAAGGAAACAGTAGGGCTATGTGGAAAGCACTGCAAGGTTTAGTGAAGGGAATTAGAAAACAAGAGTTCAAAGGTATACAATTTGATGGTGTTCTCATAACAAATGAAGCAAAAGTAGCAGGATATTTCAATTTATTTTTCTTTGAAAGTCCTTACCGACAGTATAGTACCAATAAATGATTATAATCATGTTCTCAGTTATATTACACCAACAAATGAGATACTTGGGGAATTTGAAACATTGAATATGTGCGAGTTAAAAAAGATAATTTTTTTTTCTCAAGAAAAATAATACAAATTATAATGGAATTATTCCGAATATAATTAAGTTAACAGTTCCCGACGGTTGGAAAATGCCGCCATTGTTCCTATTGAAAAAATTACAAACACCTTTTATGGATCTGATTTTAGAACCATAAATAATCTACCAATTTATGAGAAAATATTAGAAATCACTGTGAAAGATCAATTGATGAAATTTATAGGGAAACATAATATTTTGATTGAAGAACAATCTGGATTTAGGCAATCCCATTCATGTGAAACTGCACTGCAATTTCTATATCTAAAAAACGTATTATAGGTGTTGTCTTTCTGGATTTCAAAAGAGCATTTGAGACAATCAACATTGAGTTACTTTTAATGAAATTAAATAAGTATGGACTAGATTATAAAGTATTAAAATGGTTCACAAATTACCTTACATATCGGAAGCAGCTAGTTAAATATAATCAAGTGACATCCAGTACTTCAAATGTAATTTCAGGAGTGCCTCAAGGGTCAGTATTGGGTCCAATGCTATTCTTGCTGTACATAAATGACATTGTACATGTTAAAAGGTGTAAGATGAAACTTGTTGTATTGTTCTGGGACAGCTAATGAAATCTCAGAATGTTTGAATGAGGAACTATCAAATATAAACGAGTAGTTATGTGACAACGGCCTTAAGTTAAATGTTAATAAAACAAAATGCATGTTAATAGGTAGCAAATATTATTTAAGACAACTGCATGATGAACAGCTGTCATTGAATATTTACATTAATAATGTCATCATTGAGAGGGTCGTAACTTTCAAATATTTGGGAGTAGTATTAGATCAAGAATTGAACCTTAATGCGCACTGTCGTTATATTCAGAAGAAAATAACCACGAAAATACATCTCTTATATAGGCTGAAAAATAAAATAAGTGAATATGCAAAACATATTCTGTTTCTGCTCATGGTAGGGACAGAAATGTCTCTACCATGAGCAGAAACAGCTGCCTCAGACTAGTTTGGTTTGTACTGTAGAATTTTTATTTGTTACTTGCTTCAAATTGAGAGGTGAGCCACCCTGTAAATTGAAGATGTTGGGAATTTCTCCTTTATGAATATTAAGTTTATTGTCTAGAAGCTTAGTCGTTATCTTAGTTTGGGTAGCATAGTTTTTATTTGTTTTTGTAACAGTCACATTTTTTGTGGATTTAACATTATCACTAAATGCACTATTTCTCTAAACATTTTAACTGCTTGTTGATGAGGGGACATTGAATTTGTGCCAATAAAACTTATAAGTTTTTCTTCCAGGAGTAACATTTTGTCATAAAATAAAGTAATCAGTGACTCTTTATCGTTAATGATAATGGTTTCATCTGCATATATTTGTTTGAGCAACAAATTTTCATCAGGCAAGTAAATTTCATCTGTCATCAGGATTTTTTTCAAGTTTCACATCATAGCAAATTATAACTTTATCTCATTAGTTTATAGTTATCACAGAGAGTTCCTTTTTCATAAGGTGGGACGGTAGCCGGTTGGGTTGGCATGAGTGGTTTGTTCCAATTGCATGAGTGGCATAGATTATAAACAGACAGACAGATAAGGAGACTACAGCGAGTTAACAGAAAACACATTTCAGCTCTATTTCATTTTTGAGTCATAATGTTAACTTGGTTTGTGAGGTAGTGACTAATCATAATACAGTTTGTTCATACCCATAAATATCAATAATATTTTGTGAACCCTGAGATGATTTTTGGATACTGAAATATTCATAAAAAATATGTAAACATTTTAATGTGGATTTAATATACTAGTAAACTCCAGAATCTTAGCTAGTTATTGCAATTTTATATCACTAAAGATCTTGAATATGAATATCAATAATAAATGTTTCATTATAAATTCCACCATCATTAGAGAATTAATGGTTTAATTAATTTTTTTGATGTTTCTGTTAATAACAAAGGAGAAAAACATTCAGACGAATGGCTCTTTACTGGATGCAATCCAGCAACTTCAGGGTATGTTTAGGGGCAGGGTTCCATACATGAGAACAATACTCCAAAGGTCTGATCTGAGCTTTATAAAGCATCAAAAGTTGCTGAGAAGTGTACAGTTTTCTGGTTCGAAACAGTATTCCAGCGACGTGATTGTGCCAAGACATATTTGTGTCCATTTTAACCCCCAACAAACTTATCGAAGCTGAAAGTGGAATTGTCTGACCTGACAATTCGGCTGCCCGGGTTTTTGTGGCATTGAAATGAACCAGGTTACTTTCACCCCAATTTGAAATTACTTCTAGATCCTCATTAAGATATGCAACCTCCTGCTGTCAGTGAAGATATGCCTCTGTAGCCGATGTCCTGGAATCCAAATGGAATGATGAGACAAGTGTGCTGTCGTCAGCAAAGCAATATATTGGATTCTTTTTTTTTCCAATAAGTCGTTGATATACAACAAAAAGAGGGTTGGAGAAACCATATGGATCCCTGTGGAACACCAGCGTTGATGGTGAAAATATTCGAGAGATATCCATCGACAGCCACTGGCAGGAAACGTTCTTTCACGAAGTTGAGGAGACTGTTGATCTTTGTTTCCCAAAGCCATATTGATGATCACTCAAGATGTTGAAGCCTTCCAAATATTTGCGGATATGGTGGTTTACGACTTTTTCCATGATTTTTGATATAACTAATAGCAAAGCGACTGGTCTATAGTTATTTGTGAGATTTTTCTTGCCCTTTTTGGAAATAGGCTGAACGCGAACAAATCTTCCAACAAGAAGGAAAAACCCCTTTCTTGTAAGACAGGTTAAAAATCTGCAAAATACTGCTGCGAGTTCATTTGCGCACTTTTAAGTATGATAACGGGCATTTCACTAGGGCCAGACGCCTTGTTGATATTGAGCTGTTTCAAAATTCGCCTGACTAGACGCTGTCAAAAAGTAATTTCTGGCATTGTTGATTTTAGTGTGGGAATAGTGGGTGGTGCCTTTCCCAGAAAATCGACTGTGGAGTAGAACGCAAATTGTTCAGCTCCTAGATTTGCTTTTTCTATGGCTGTTGTTGCAATTGAACCATCCGCTTGTATTAGTGGTGGAATTGTGGATTTTGTGAACTTCTGGTTAACAGCTTTTAGTTATCAACCAGAAGGATATAAAGCCGTTGGAATTGGCAAGCAAATTATCCCTAATTGTCTGTGAAGTTATTTGCTTTTATCCATCCTAAGTTTGCAGCTGTTGTGAGGGGATTTTTGCGCCACTGTCGGTAGGCGAGATTTTTGGAGGCGACAGCTTGCTCGCAATTTTTGTTGAACCAAGGTTTGCCGTTAGAAGGTCGTTTCATTGAAAAAGGAATATATGCATCCATGGATGATAGAAGCACAAGTTGGTGGATCTTTAGAGCTCAAACAAAAATCTAGCAAGGGAAAATTTCGGAAATGGTCTTGAAGATCCTCCCATTCAACTGATCTGTAATGCCAAACTTTGCGTAGCTTAGATTGTTCCCCAACATTCATCGATAATTCACTCAACACTGAAATGAGTTTGTGGTCAGAAGATCCTAATGGAGACCTTATGGTGACTGTAAATTTTCTAGATTGGTTGTTAGTTATAAATCCAGAAGACTAGCATAGTCTCCATCACGGTGAGGAATCCTGGTTGGCTCATTTATAATCTGAGTAATTCCGCTGCTTATTGCAAAAGCCTCAGCTTCGCGACCTAGTTCGTCATTGATATTTTAAAATTTGAGTCATTCAATATTGTGCACATTGAAGTCACCGAATATGAAAATTTCAATGGTGTTTACAAGTGAAGAGAATACTGCCCTATATTGGGTATCGCTAGGTGATCGATAAAGGCAGCATATGAATTTGGTGATCTTCTGTGATATTATTTTCAACCACATAACATCAAAGTTTCGGAGTTCCAGCGTTTCCTTTCGTTGATAGAAGAGATCGCTTCTGATAAAAAGAGATATTCCAAAGTTACGTCTGAATCGGGAGTGGAAATCATAGCCGGAATATAAAAAATTGACATGGTTTGTTGAAGTAATGACTTTAGTTTCTGTGAGTGCAAGAAAATGAAGACTATTTAATTGCAGATGTTGGTACACTGAGTTTATATTTGAGCTCTCAAGGTGTCACTATGCTTCGAGAGGACTAAGGAGTTTAGTTTCGAATGATGTGCTGAAAATTGCATATTTTGGCATGGCTCATTGTCACATAAACTATGGAATACTGATATGGGGTGCTTCCTCACATGCAAGTGAAGTATTCATTATCCAAAAATGGAAAATGAGAGATTTTGAAGTTGCTAGTGGACTAGTGGTAACTGCAACTGCAGTTATCCAAGCTGTTTCCCTGTGGACTGATGTAAGGAAGACCCTGCGCTACTTTCTATCAGCTGATTTTGCAATAAAATTTTGTCAGTCTTTATGAACTGTATTCTTCCACTGTTTTAGTGCATTATTCTTCATTAGAATGAAATTAAAATTATTTATTAATTACATTTTCACTTTAACTTTGTAAATTATCACTGTCAGACATATTTTATTTTTATTTCTTTTTAAAAATTATTATTACGTAAAACACAGGTTATATATACTGTAGTAAACACAAACTATTAGGTATCCGAGCTCAGTATGGCGAGAGATATAGAGTAACGCTAAACCAGTGGGAAAAGAATCGCATAGTCGCTTGTGCATGTCATGCATCGCCATGCCAAAAATTAAACATGTCATCATCCATTTTTGGAAGAAAAATTAATTTTTCAGTATTATTAACCACATTTCCAGATATTGGTTTTTGTTTTTACATTCATGAAATATATTGTATTACTACTACATAACATCAAATTTTTTTCTTGACAGATTCATGTTTATCTATAGTCCGTTCATAATTTGTCGATAGCACAAAATGAGGGCCCAAGTCATAAAAAGGTCGTAAAACTCGTAAAATCATAGGCGGAGGTTCCTGAGGTGTTTATTCATTAAATATAAAGCTTCAGTTTATATTCGAAACTTGCCTTGAAAGGGTGAAGTTGTTACGAACGAATACTTGTAACTTAATTACATTGTTAATATCCTTTGAATAAAGATCTTAAAAGGTAAGGTAGTGTTTTTGAAAGGTCACATAAGAGCAGTTTGATCTAGTGCTAAATTGAAACGTAACACACACAAACTGAATATGTATGTCGTTCACTTGAAATGTTTTTTTTTGTGAAAAGTCTCTAAAAATGTGAAATTGAATAAAAACTATGGAATATATTAATGAATAATTGTACACGAACTTCGTATTTTACAATAAATTTCACATTTTTTACTTTTTCTATAAAAATCTCTTATTTTAGGTGAACAACATACTCTGAAATAGAGTTTAGGTGAGTACTAAGTAAAAACAGCATTGTCCAAAGTTTTTCTGGAAATGTAATATGAATTAAATTGTCATATTTATTTTATTGTACCTCTGAAGTTGGCATTGAACTCTGCTGAAACCCTGGCAAATTTGTGTCATGTTCTATTGTCAGTGAATACCTTGTTATCATAAAATGAATTTTCTACAAGAATAAGTTGAAGCATCCCTTGAAGATGCTAACTTATCTGACAAAACAGTCAAATAGAGACCAGTTTTTCAAAGTTCTGGTGTTTGAGGGAAGGTGATTTCCTCAGATATATTTTGTTTTCTTAATATTATTCAATTAATTACAAAAAACACAATCTTACCTACACAAACTTAAAAACCAATGAGCTATGTGGTCATCTAGCCTGGCCTGAGAAATTCCAACACAATTTGTTTGATTTAGGAGGATGTCATAGGTATGAAGTTTCCCTACTTTTATTTGAGATTCCATGAAAGTATTCCATTTTCTAGTATTTGGTGTCAGGTTTAGAATTTTTGCCTCTTCCATTAATTTATATAAGGATATCCTTTCATTACACAATTTTTCCAAAAGTGGGATGGATGACAAACCTTTTGGTGGACTTTTGTACATATTTAAATTAAACTTGTATGGGCCATCTTCCATTTTTGGGAGAAAATTTAATTTTTTGGTATCACTGACCACAGTTTCAGATTGGTTTTTGTTTTTCCGTTCATGAAATATATTGTATAATTACAACCTAAACTTTCGCTGTACTTCATAAAAATATCTACTAGCAACAAAACATCAAAAATATTTTTGACAGATTCATGTTTATATGTTTATGTAAATAATAAGGTTATAATATATATATTGAGGTCCAACGACACAGAACACTGTAGTTAGGGTGTTCTGTGCCAACGATGTCTTAGGCACAGTATACAGTATACTTATATACAAGAGGTTTGTTCTGGTTCTACGAAATTCAGGTTCTAGAACGTCAGAATCATGCGCAGTTGATATAGAGCGTTCTGGTTTATTGAGGATAATTTCGGACTTATGAATCTTCTGTTCTGGTTTCGACTGCAAAATGATCCTAAACTGTTTTGAACGGTTCAAAACAGACCTGCCAGAAAGTTTGTTCTAGTTCTAACATCTGAAACTGTTTGGAAACTGCGCAAGACATGATGCGTACAAACAAAAAATCTCAAATCAAACCTTTAAAAATAAAACTTATTGATACATGACCTTAATTATAATTTACAATTCACAAGTTACTTGCCAATTATCAATTATAATTTACATTACCAAAATGGCACACTTTTTACCGTGGTTTACATTTGTTTACAATTCAAATATCGTAATTGGCAATGACAATTGACGATTTTGACAAGAGCTAGATCACTAGATCTAGTACGAAAACACTATTTCTGGCAGCCCTGGTCCCGAATTGTTCTTGCTCTCGAGACTGAACTATTGAGAACTGTTCCCGTTGCTCATGCACATTCGTGTGAAAATTTGTTTGGGCTATTTGCTAAGATGTTTTTTTTATTTATTTGATTTGAATAATTGATGATTCAGGTTAGATAACATTTGAACTGACTATAGGGATACGCTATACATAACAAAATGAACATGATTAATAGTATTTTCTCGTCTTCATCTTTTCATATATACGATAGGTGGCACAGTGGTCTCCTCAAAAGCGTTCTGGTTTAAACAAGTGTCCGATACTATTTCGGACTGTTTGAGATTTCTTATTTGTACGCACCATGTCTTGCACAGTTTCCAAACAGTTTCGGATGTTAGAACCAGAACAAACCTAAGTGTTGTTCTGGTTCTAGGACGTCAGGATCATGCGCAGAAAATATAGTGTTCTGGTTTATTGAGGATACTTTCGCACTGATGAATCCTCTGTTCTGGTTTCGACTGCAAAATGATCCTAAACTGTTTTGAACTGTCCCGAATCGTTCTTGCTCTCGAGGCTGAACTGTTGAGAACTGTTCCCGTTGCTCATGCGCATTCATGTGGAAATTTGAGCTATTTGCTAGGATGTTTTTTTATTAATTTGATTTTAATGATTGATGATTGAGGTTAGATAACATTTGAACTGACTATATGGATACGCTACATAACAAAATGGACATGATCAATAGTATTTTCTCGTCTTCATCTCTTCATATATACGATAGGTGTCACAGTGGTCTCCTCAAAATCGTTCTAGTTTAAACAAGTGTCCGATACTATTTCGGACTGTTTGAGATTTTTTGCTTATACACATCATGTCTTGCGCTGTTTCCAAATCGTTTCGGATGGTTAGAACCAGAACAAACCTACAGTAATCCCACTTTGCGTGATTTTTGGTTTGAATTTTCTACACGCAGACTCAGGAGTTTCAGTTTCAGGTCTGCGCAAACGACGAGTTCAAGACAGGCACGCAACCTTTCCATAATTGTCGAATTTCATCGTTTTCACCCACCCAACCTACTGTGGTATATTATGTTAAAGGTGGTCTCTTATTCCATCAAATTCTGATTGCAGGAATATTACTGGATGAGGCGTCGGTCCTTAGAAATATTCCATGTATTTTATTCGTATAAAACTGTTTACTTGATAATGGGGTCAAACTCCAAACCGGTCGTATAAATAAAATTTACCAGTGGTATTTAGACAAGAGATTTTTATTCATATCATTTAAGTGATCATGAATAACCATAAAGTAAACAAGTCATCAATCACACAATTATAATATGTATAGAAGCAATTAGATCTTCTCCATGTCCTGCAATTCTAGCGGAGGCATAAAGCCACCTTTATAAATATATAAGAAGACAATTCTTGGCTTGCAACCTGTTACTGAAAAAAAATGAGGTTCTCATCAGATGGCTTCACAGACAAGATATATAGTCTATCTGTAAACAATTTTACAAATAACTATTGGGGAATAAAAATAGTCCACCTCTCGCAGAGGCCTTTATAGAAATGAAGTTTAACGGAGCCTTGCCAACAACCGATAAGTTTCCTCTTTATCATCATAACTCACAAGAAATAGTGCTCAAGCCCATTGTCCTATTTCCCCAATATTCGGAAACTCCTAGCGTAAATAATAATTTCATCAAAACCTTGCTGAGTGATAATAAGCCTAATGTAGAAATTATATACACTGATGGCTCCAAAACTGAGTTAGGTACTGGATGTGCTTTTTACTTTTCATCCACCAAAGTTAATTTTAACCCAGTAAACCACGCGCCTCATTATAAAGCCATACATAAATAAAAATCTAGTAGGTGGTAGAAAAACTGGCTCAGCTGAATATGTCTATAATCTTTAATTTTCACACAATTTACATACATATAATACAGGTCAAATCATTATGAAGGTGAGAAATAATAATAACTTCATCATTTTCCCAAAATGTATTTGCAAACTTCATAAAAAAATCAAATATATAGGTATAATAGGAAGAAAATTTCAGCAATAAAACATGAGATAATGAATGTGTAACTGTGTTATATATAAATGCAGTATGTCGCAAGAAGTATGCAACAAATTAAAACCTATTTTACTCTGAATGTCACAAAAAAAAGTTTTTTGTGATAGAAGTTGGTGCTTCGCAATAAATTCCATGATGGGTGATGGGGAAAGTTGTGTCGAGTCCTTGGTTTGTGCATTAAACATCATTCTTTTCAAAAAGTTATTCAGAAGTCTCTCTATTTTTGGAAATACATAAAAAAATCATTGGGAATATTTTAACGTTTCAAAAAAAGAACAAGAATCAAAAGCAATTATCTCTTATATACTGTTATGAATTCATGAAACAACAAATATTTCAATAACTACGGAATACTTATTGAAAATGATTTGATTAATGAGGTGATGACATACCAGTGAGATAAAAAAAATTATAAAACAATTTAATGAGGACCTTCCTAATGTTCAAAATCTGAATAATTCTGATTACAAAGAAATATTCCCAGTGAATTCTTTGTAGAACTTTTCGATTACCTGTTAAGAGATCCTTTTGATAAGCACCACCTTTCAACTAATTTTTTTTCAAGAAAGTTTCCTCTTTGATGCATAAAATTTGGAATAAGCGGTTTATATACAAAAAACAATGTAATGAGTAGAAACACAGCTGTTTTCTATTAGATATTCAATCAAAATACATCTACTCATAGTGACTATGGATGTATGTATATCACACCAGCAGTTCTACTCAGAAACAGCATTACAGTCCCACCTTGAACTCCTCATGCAAGCCTTTGGGTTCTGCAAATAACTTGAGAGAAATTACAAGGCAACATTTATTAATTTACAATGGATGTAAGATAGTGTATTACCACCTTCCATTGAACATCAGATGTATTGAATAACTTCTTTGGTTCAGGAAGAATGTAAACTATTTATTGTCTGTAAAAGTAATTGAACTTTATAAGATTTCTGTAATTATGGTTATTGAAATTTACAATTCCAGCATAAATTTAACAAAGTTTAATTCAAATATCTTCAATTATTATTTTAATTTGATTTCATCGAGTCATATTTTTTGCTATGATTTCATATGCAGGCCATCACTGATAGACTAATTTGACACTTGACCCCTATGCCAATTAAAATTTTGAAAAATGTTGAAATGACTCCCCCAGCCATCTATCGAGCAATCACAATGTGTGTTTTTTTTTTTCAAAAAATAGTATCGGTAATAGCCCCCAAACGTTTTTTTCATGTTTCTACGTCAAACCGTTCAAAAGTTAAGTTAGTTTCTTATCGATCTGAGGTGAAATGGTATTTAATGTCCTTACCAGTGGTAAATTAATTTCCAGTTTCCTTGTGATGGGATTTCTTTTATATTCAGGTTCCCACGAAAAGTAAAATACCGTAATGTTCAGAGAACACCATGATTGAATTTCTGTAGACTGCAAGCCTAAAGGAACACCTTCTGAGGCAGTGAATTCCAAAGCTTTGCCTTTTATTGTTAGAACTTGACCTTGGAAAGAGATGTGATGAAAATAGTTTATTTTCTTCTAGAATACAAATACAAAATGTCTTCTGATATACTTTAATTGCTCACTACAACCTTTTATTTGAGTGTGTAAAAGAGTTCTTTTTTTTGGGAAAGAAAGTTTTTGGCTTTCTACTACTCCATCTGATACAAAAAAATGGATGAGAGAATCTTCCAAAGAAAGGAAGGATTAATCAATTTGAAAAT